ACAGGCCCCCTGAATGTCGTTTACAAGGATTGGCCAGTGCAACCCAGTTCAAGCTGTGTGGACGGAGAGGTGCCTCCCACGAGGCCGGGGATGCACAAAGGGTCAGCGTTGGCATTCCAAGGTGAAACTGTCCTGCCACCACGGCTGGGGCCCCCAGGCAGCCACGTCCACGCGGGATCCCCTTGCCACCAGGCTTTGGAGGGTGGGCAGTGGGGCAGGCGCCAGCCCAGCGGCCGGGTTGCCTGAGACGCAGCCTCCGGATGAGGGCGGCACGTCACCACTAATTCCCTTCAGAAGGCCAACAGTCTCCTTCTTCTTGGAAATTTGAACCCGAGAATAGCATGCGTCGCTGCTGGCGCCGGGCACACAGGTCACCGCACACGCCATCCCGGCGTCAGAGGTTGGGAGGAAGGCCAGTGCGAAAGCACCAATCAGCGCGCAGCCTCCCCTTTCATACTCTGCCCCACTCACCCCCTCGCTGGCTCAGGCGTGGCTCGCTGCTGCCACCGGCAAGCAGAGTCAGGACCTCGCCGCAGGATCACAGCAGTGGCGCAAAGCCCCGCTAAATGCCAGCCCAGCTACCTGCTCTCGCTGGAAGTTTACATAAGGCCGCTGGCAGTTTTAGCGGCAGCTGAGGCCTGGCCATGGACGGGACGCCACCATGGCTAATCGAAAGTTCCCTTTGGGAGCAGCAGCAGTCGTGGGGTTTCACAGGATCTTCCCCTGACCCAACAGCACCAACAGGCTGGGGTATCTCCCCGGAGGCGGCAGGGCCGCCGCCGGCCTGAGGGAGAAGCCACGCACCAGGTACGTGGTGCCCCGGGCGGAGCGGAGAGAGAGCGCGAGAGTCCACGGACCCCTGTCCCCCCCCAGGGCCCACCGCACCTGGTCCGGCACCATCTCTGGTCTTCCATTTTGTGGGAGCTCCTGACGTCTGTCATCACGCCAGTGTGCTGGCTCCCAAAGGCACCACCAGCGCAGAATCAGAAACCATGACCTGTGATTACTCAGGGGAGAAAAAGAGCCAGCCCAGGAGGAGGTTCTCCCAGACGTGATGCTTTCCTTCTGGAAACACTAGGCCGTGACTCTCAAAACTCACCTGGCCCTCGGGCAGCTCTCACAAGTGGTTTCTGCAGGGCTGCCAGGGCCACGGTCAGTATCCGTAGGTCTCCTCGACTCGCGCCAAGTGCACGGACAGTACCGGGCCAGCCTGCCATCCAGAGACCTGCCTGGGTTGTGGCCACTCAGAAGACGACCGCAGTCAGGAGAGTGACAGACACCTCCTGCCTCCTTCTGCCAAGCCCCCTCGATTCTCCTGGTGGCAGGGTCTCTCAGTCCAGGAGAACACACTGCTGCCAAGCCAGCTCCCGCAGGGATGAGGGGCTGAGACAGACACGGGCTCTGGCCGGAGGCACTGGGGTTCGGCGTGTGGGGTTAACTAACTGGCCCCAGAAACCTCCTTTTGATGATAGACAGCTCTCAGGCCCGTGGCTCCTCAGGTCTGGGTTTCCGGAGGCGGGCCCGGGCAAGGTAGCATATGGCTAAGCAGGGTCGGCCCGGATGTGGGAGGTGGGGGTTGTGCATAGGAAGGGAGGCATGGCAGATCTGGAAGCCACCTCCAGTCGTTTTCAGTACAAGATAAGACTCCCTGTCTGTTGCTTTGGTCTCATTCTCACCTGGTTCTACGCCAGGCAGGAAGAACGCTGCTGACCCTGGACTCTATTCCTGTTTCGGTGGGTGGAGAACAGAGAGCAGGAGCCTGAGCACGACCACAGGACGGCACACGCACATGGTTTGTCGGAAGAAAGAGACAAGGCGGGCATGGCACTGGGCCTCTCACCGAGTAAAATGTGGGTTTGGTAGGTGGGCCTGTGGGCTGGCCCATCGCCATTCTTCTTCTGGCCCGCAGGCTGTTCTCAAACCAGAACGGGGAGGAAGGGAAGACGCGACGGCACCGTGGCACATCTGGGCAAGTGATCGGGGCTGGCGCCAGGGCATTGAGTTTGAGACGGGCTGTGGATGGAACGCCGGAGTCCCCGGTGAGGGGCCTGGTATGGTCCACGTCACGAGCCTGGTTCAGGTGTCACGACCAAAGCAGCAGGCAGGGGGCTAGCCCCCGGTCCTCCCCAGGCATGCCGCCCTGAGCGACCTGCAGGTGTGCAAGCGGGGCCCCCAGGCTGAGCCTCATTGTGGACTGATGGGGTATTACACTGGTCTAAAAGGGCTGTACGCCATCCAGTAGGAGAACGCCTCCTCCTGGACTGAGAACGCCAGTTTGTGTGACGCCGCCAGCTTTTCTGAGGGAGGCTGTGGGGTCGCGGGAGCTGACCTACAAAGACGCTTGTTGCAGTGTTCCGTGACTGTGGTGTGAGGTGTGTGGGGATGCGGGCCCATTGGGGGAAGGGTCTCCCTCAGAGCCCCTCCCCATTTCTCTGTGGGGGATCAGGTCTAAGGTTTAGATTTCTGTCCTCCTGAGTACAGCCGTAAAATCCAAGACCGCCAGTACCGGACCAGCCCTGCCTGCTCAGGGGAGAGGGGAGACATGTGAGAAGGGAAATGTGGAGGGACAGGAAAAGAAAGCTGATACTTTTTCTGGCGTGTCTTCAACTGGACTGCACCTCCATGGTTTGTGTGCGGAAGCGACCCGCGTCGGCGGATTGCCCTGACAGGCCCCACACGCGCCAGGCCCTGGCTGGCTTTTATGTTCTTCAACTTACCACACTTGAGTTCCGCCTACGTGGGGTTTATCTGTCAGTGCTTACCCTGTCATTGCTTGTGTGAAACGGATATGAGAGAAACGATGACACATAGCGCAATTCATTTCAGAACGATAAACCCAGTTTGTTAACATGGCACAAACTAAATAGATATCCGTCATGCACTTTGAAACTCCACTCATGCTTAAGATACATTGGGGAAGATGGGTGGGAAGGCTCAAATCAGTGGGGAGAAAGGAAGCCACCCAGAGGCCAGTGATAAACAGGCATTGGCAGTTGCCTCCACAGCCTGTCCCCACCCCCTGTGGGTAAGTGCACTAAGCCCGGGGACAGCGTGCGGTTCGCAGAGCTGTCTGGGAACACACATCAAAGTGCCAGGACTGCCAGTGTGAACACATACCGCCATGTGGTGGAAGCGGGCCCAAGTTGGAGAACGTGCGGATAAGTCCGGCCTCAGGGACCTGGCTCACCCATGAAAGTCTCCCCACTGTGGATCGGAGAGCTGCCTTTGTGCCAGGTGTTGTCCTGGCAAGGCGCCACCCAGGCTCTTCAAGCTATCAGATGGGATCACATGATACTGCAGGTTTAGGGCCGCCAGGAAGCAGAAAGGCCTTGTGAGAAGAGGAGGGTCTCGGGTGGCTGGCTGGGACCACAGCCTCCAGACGCAACGGGCCCAGAAGGCTCGGGACCTGGCCCGCTGCCCGGAAAGGTCTGGCTAGAGTATGGCTGCTGTCCCACTTGGCCCCTTCCCCTGAGTGGTGGGAGGTGCACTTACAGGGCTACACACTGACAGAAGGGGGAGACAGGGATGGTGGAGTTGGCTGGGGGTTGGGGGGCCTCTCTCTTCAGGCAGCTTCCCAGATTGTGAAACGCACCCAGACATATCCAGTGATGAACAAGTCAGACGTGGGGTGGAAAGAGGGGTTCAAGCAACCCTGAGGGAGATGAGGCAACACGGTGGGGGGGGGCGAGGAGCGGGAGGAGGACAGCACAGCGTGGCCGAGTGCGCTGTGACCCTCAGAAAGGACAGCCTCATGAGGTAGCCACAGCCTGACGGGGGTTATGCTGAGCAAGAAGTACCCCGTGCAGGACTCACCCGGAAGGTCTCCTTTGAGTACTTCCTACACAGGTCGTCTATACCCATGAACAGCGCCCGGATATCCGCATCCGTCTGAAAGAGAAGGAAAGCAGGGTCCCTGTTACCGCCTCTAACACGGGCGTGCGGCACTGGTGAGAAAACCGCACCTCCGGGTCTAAAGTCAGCCACACGTGACACAGTCGATCGACACCTCACAAGCCATCTCCAGGGGCCCCGGGAGGGACACCCACGTCCCAGCTGCCGGTGGCTGTGGCAGATGAGGGGCAGCGCCACGCCTCCAGCGCTAAGGGGCTCCGGGCACCCACCGGGGGGCAGACTGGCCAGCGGCCGGCTGAGCCCCCGGGCCGCACGTCCACCTCTGTGAGGCGTGAGACACCCCTACTTGGACGGGTTCCCCCAAAGGTTGAAGGAGGCAGGGGTGAAAGCCAAGCAGAGGAAACGCGTGGAGCTCGGAAGAAGGGGAAAGCCGACGATCGCGGCCAAGTCGGCACAAGTACGTGCTGAGTTACCGAGAAAGCAAACTCGAGAGACTCAGGAGAGCGAGGGCTGAAGAAACCGTCTCTGCCGACTTACGACGCTAGTGCAGACGTGCCCTGTCCCCCACCCCACCCCCCACGTCAGCAACGGCCGTCCTGTGACAGGAGTCAGAGAGCGGCCGCCGCTAAACGGACAGGACAGCACGAAGCGTGCAGGAGCACCCGGATAAGGACACACACGCACCAGAGCGAAGAGGTGCAGGAGGGGCCTCGTGCATCCTCCCCGTCTGGTCTTTGGTCTGGGCTGTGGGCAAGTCACGAGCTTCGGGATGTGCCCCCGAGCCCCAGCAAGACGACAGTGAAGCTGAACTCAGATGAACAGCAGAAACGGGGAAATGCTCCCCAAAGGGCCAGGGCCTTCTGGGGGAGCCAGCAGCGGGGTGGGAGCAGGTCTGGCTCTGGAGGGTCAGGGGGCCGGTGTGGTGAAGCAGCCCCGGGATCCACTCCTGGGCGTCAGGTCGACAGCGGGGGAGCCCGCACAGTGCTGCCTGGACGGACCACCGCAAGGCAGGGCAGCACGGCCAACGGGGAGGGGCCGGGGCCTTCAGGTATGTGCGAACCCTGCTCTGCACCAGCTGGACCTGCCGCCCTGGCACACGGCCCAACACGTCTGAGCTTCCGTCCCCCGAGCGAGGTAAGCAGAAACGGTGCCCTCCCGAAGGTCACGTGGAACGCAGGCAAACAAAAGGGGAGCAGCGCCCCCAACAGAGCGTGGCCGGGCCTGGTGCTCGGCAAGTGGGGGCCACGCCTGTTATGTAAAGACACATACAGAGACGACCCAGAACAAGATGAACGGCTCCGTGGGCCAGAAGTGAAAGCACCTGGAAAGGCTGTCTGTCACTCATCTGTCAGGGTCTACTACCTTCTGTGACGGGAGTCAATCATTCTACACGTGACAGAGGCCCCGAGGGGCAGGGGAGGGTGTGGAGACAGAGCAGCCGAGGGCTCTCCAGGCTAAGGAACGACCTCACTGCACGGGCCGTGGAAACTCTGCGAAGACAGGCAGGACGACTACGCAGACAACCGCATCACACACAGGAGAGCCGGGTGCGGAAAAAGACAAAAATGGAGGAGTATGGTCAAAGCGCCAAAAAACATGAATTTCCATTAAAGAATTCTAAGCCCAGTGAAAATATGCTTCCAAATGGAGACAAAAACAGAGGTCCTTTTCAGACAAACAAAAAACAGAGAATTTGTCACCAACAGAAGCCACGGCCTTCAGGTAGGAAAGGGTTCCTCGGTGGGAACAAGTGGGTTCAGGAACAAGTGAGGAGCACGAGGGAAGGGGACTGTGGGGTGACCCAAGATCAGAATGGTGACCGCACACTCGTCATCCCATGGGGCTCTGTGCAGACAGAACTGAACCACACACCGACAGCATGAGGGGAAGGTGGGACAAAGGTGACAGAAGTGTCTGAGACCCCTGCATTGGCAGGAAGACTACTTCACATTAGACTGCAGAAGGTCAAGGGCATACCGTAGTCTCTGGGGTCATGGAAACAAATGCTGTCTTGGTCTGACGCTCAGGTCACAAACAATTCCCATAGCCATGTACCCACACTTGTGCATTCTTCTGTATTAAACTTGAATAAAAGTAAAAATAACAACTAAAAATCCCCAAATATTTCTAAATTAATCAATAGAGTTTCAGAAAACACACAGGTCACATGAGTAATCAGAAAAAATTTCAAAGTATTCTGAAGTGAAAGATAACAAAAATGTAACACAGCCAATTGCAGAAACGCAGGCAAGGATGAACAGAAGGGTGCCACAACCCTGCAATGTAGATATCAGAAGGGAGAGGCTAGAGGTTCCTGTAAGCAATTATCTTAAAGAACAAATTTAATCCAAAGAGAAAAGAAAAAGGAAACAATAAAGAAAACAAAAGTTGAGAAATGCAAAGTGACGACAAACAGAGCCAAAACACCTGAGAACACTAACTTACTGACAATAAAACCAGGTAAGACTGTTGAAGAAAAAAAAGAGACAAGGCAACAAAAAAAGGACATCACTACAGATCTCACAGACACTGAAAATACAGATGGCTACAGACATGCGGATGATGAGAAATTTCAAAATTCAGAGGAAGTGCACAAATTCCTAGAAAAAGACTTACTTAAGCTGACCCAAGAATTAGGAACTCTGAAAAGTTCCATGTCTAATTAAAAAATTAAACCCTAGTGGGGCACCTGGGTAGCTCAGTTAGCTGAGTGTCCAACTTTGGCTCAGGTCATGATCTCATGGTTCGTGAGTTTGAGCCCCACGTAGGGCTTACTGCTGTCAGCGAGAAGCCTGCTTTGGATTCTCTGTCTCCCTCTGTCTCTCTCTACCCCTTCCCCGCACGTGCTCTGTCTCTAAAAAATAAACAAGCATTAAAAAAAAAAAAATTAAACCCTAGTTAAAAACCTCCTCAGCCTTCTAGGATCAGAGAGTGTCACACATGAATTTTACCATTCTCTGACTAACCCCAATCTTAAAAAAAAAAAAATCTTCCAGAAAAGAGGAAATGAAAGAATATCCAACTCCTTTTATGAAGCCAGCAAAACCCTGATTCACCAAAACTTGAAAAGGGCATGTAAGAAAGGAAAATCACAGGTCAGTTCTCACATGAACGCAGGTGCACAAAACCCAAATTCATCTACACATACAAGCTATACCACATCACAACCAAGTTGCAGTATTTGAAATTCTACTGTGAGTTTAAAATTCTAAAAATAAATGCGATTCACCACATCACCAAAATAAAGAAGAAAAGTAAAATGATAACCCCTTAGTAAGAAACCCAGAGCTCACATGAATACTCCATGGTGACCCACTGGAAGCTTGACCCTGAAATCAGAAAGAGACAAAGGACTCCTGCCATCACCACTGTGTCCCCTTGTTGCTTACACAGTGAGAAGGTACAAGGAAAGAAAGGGGGGAATGACACAGAAATTAAACATTTGGAGATGACACGATTGTGCACAGAGACAGTCTAGACGGATCTTCACATCGGCCAACAGCATTATCAAATGAATTTAGCACGGTCACCAGATAAAGGTTAATAAACAAAACCAACCCATTTTTACACACCAACGAGAAGCACTTAGGAGATGAAATTATCCCAAATCATCAATACGCGAGGGTGACGCTAACGGCGGCACCAGCCTCTGTACAGAAAACTGCCACTGAAGCCGGAGCGCATCTAAACAAATGGAGGCGTGCCACACTTGCGGCCTAGAGGCCCCACTGTAGGGATGTCAGTTTACCTGTGTCATCAGTGAAGTGCAAACCCAACAGGGCTTTGTGTGGAAATTAACAAGCTGGTTCCAAAATTACATGAAGGCGCTAACTTAAGAGGGACACCTATTTCTTGCCTGCGCATTAGTGGAGGCCTGTGCTCAGTGGACGGCCTTCCGCTCGGAAACCAGCAGCCCTCCTCTGCTGGGTCACCAGCATCCACTTAGCAGAGTGTGTGTGTGTGTGTGGGGGGGGGTGTCCAAGAGACTGCTTTGGGGGCCAGGCCTGGGGAGGCATTGTTCACGGGAGGCTGGCGGGGAGACTGAGTCTAGCTGGGGGCCCAGCAAGGAGAGCAGGGCCAGAGACAGCCCCCAGCCAGGCCAGCGTGCTGCTCCAGTGGCTGCTGTCCACTTCTCTCTTCCGCCATACAGGAAGGTCATCCCCCGAAACCCTGTGGGACACCCCCCAAATGTCCTAAACCCAGGTCCTTGCCGGCACGTGGTCACGTCCTCCAAGTCCCGATTTGGGCTGCGGCCCAGGAACCAGGCTCATCCTCACCACGAGCAGCCTCCGACCTGGGGCCTGGGGCAGGACGGCTGAATCCACCCCTCAGAGGTCAGGGGAAGGCAAGAGGACACAGCCATCACGGAGACCCTGTGGGTGGGTGTCCTGGGGTTCCTGCCCTGGGGCCACACATGCATCTTCCTTAGCCAGGCCTCTGCTGTCTAGGGGAGCCTCTGGTCTAGCTACCTCCAGCCCCTGACTCTGCCCACTTCTCCCCAGGGCCTTAAGTGGGCATGTGGAAGAGTGCCCTGCACACTCATGGCCCCAGGTCCCACGTCCTCACACTTGGAGTCCAGACGCTGGTGGCTTCTCCAGGGCTCGGGGCCTCCCCACTGCAGGGGCTCCTTTCCATCTCCACTGGAGAACCAGCCAATTCCAGCCCAAGTGCAACCCCTTCCGGCCCATATATCCTTCTGTTGTGCGTTCATCACAGGCTCTGTCCTGCGGGCCCGGCTGCCTCTTCCAGGTCCCCGCGGGCTCCCCAGCTTCAGTCTCCCCGCCACCTGACAGATGAGGCCCTTTCCGGTAACAAACAAGTCAACAAATACAAAGCAGGTGGTGTCCTGTGTGTGAAGCCAAAGGAGCAGGTGCGGGCAGAGTAAGAGGCGTGGGCAGCTTTCACACAGCAGGTCGCAGAAGATCAGCTTGGCCTGGTCCATGCACTGTGTCTGGCTCTGACAAAAGAAAGCCAGTCAGAGCAGAAACCACCAGGGGCACTGCGTTTACAAGGGTTCGTGTTGTCCTGTGAAACGTTGTCCACGTACATGCACACGCATGGACTCATGCGCACCCAAATGCACACACACCGTGCCATGATTATAAGTGTCCTTCCTGCCACAGGTCAAAGAAACCGCAGTCACACAGAACCATAGGCAGAGACCTAAAGGCAGTGGGGGAAGGAGGAGGTGGAAGCAGCCTGGCCCCAGGAGCAGTGGCAGGTTGGAGTCACCGGCCAGGGGACCAGGTGTCCACCAGAGGTCAGGACCCAGAGCCACGGGCATGAGGGGACTTGGGTTTCACTCCGAGAAGGCCGGGACACATGACCCATGTGCGCAGACCCCTCTGGCTGTGGGGGAGAAAAGATTCCAGGAAGCAGGAGGGAGGGCAGGAAGAATGGCTCTTAGGCGTCATGGTGGCAGAGGAGAAAGGAGGGCCCCTGAGAGACTGCTGGAGGCGGCCCCAGAATGCAACGCGGGCGTGCAGGAGAGAGCGGCCAGGAGCATCATGGGTGCCGCGAACAACTTCACTCACGCGTGTGCACAGAGAATAAACAAATACGTACATCTTCAAGCATCTGTAGAACATTAACAACTGCCACGTACGAAGACACAGTGAAAATCTTGACAATTAAAAAAAGAAACCACATGGCCATATTCTCTGATCACAAAGGCATAAAATTAAAAGTTTTCTACAAAAACGGTGGAGGAAATAAGATCTAATCTCTCAGAAATTAAGGAATATTCTCCCAAGTAATTCCTGAGTTGAAAAAGAAGTTAAGAGAAATAAGACTATTTAGAAATGATAAAACCAATGCTCAAAGTGATGCAGAACAGCAGTCAACAGAAGGAAATGGACAGTCTGAAATACATTTATCAGAAAACAAGACAGAGCACACATAAACTGAGCGTGCAAACCAAGAAGGCAGAGAGAGGCGGGGGCGTCCCTCCCTCGGCCGCAGGCCCGACCAGCTGCACCAGTCAGCAAAGCCTGGAAGCACAGCTGAGGGCCTAAAGCCGTACATTTCTTTCCCCCTCCCCCCACGTTCTTACTTTAAAAACATTTTTTTTTTAATGTTTGTTTATTTTTGAGAGAGAGAGAGAGAATGAGCGGAGGAGAGGCAGAGAGAGGGAGACACAAAATCCGAAGCAGGCTCCAGGCGTCGAGCTGTCGGCACAGAACCCGACGCGGGGCTCGAACTGAAGGACCGCCAGATGGTGACCCAAGCTGAAGTCGGACATTTAACTGACTGAGCCACCAGGCGCCCCTTCGTGTTCTTACTTGTAATTGTTCATTTTAATAATCGTTTGTTTATATGCTTATCTCCTTTTCAAAGTTCCTTGAAAGCCTCTTTTGTCTCTTTTTTTCCTTTTTTTAAAAGATATAACTTATTGTCACGTTGGCTAACATACAGCGTATACAGTGTGCTCTTGGCTTCTGGAGCGGATTCCTGTGATTCATCGCTTCCATACAACACATAGTGCTCAACCCAACAGATGCCCTCCTCAATGCCCATCATCATTTCCCCCTCTCCTCCGCCCCTCATCAACCCTCAGTTTGTTCTCTGTATTTAAGAGTCTGTTACAGTTTGCTTCCCTCTCTGTCTGTAGCTACTTTTTTCCCTTCCCTTCCCCCATGGACCCCTGTTAAGTTACTCAAATTCCACATATGAATGAAAACGTATGATGTGTCTTTCTCTGACTTACTCCACTTAGCATAATACTCTCTAGTTCCATCCACGTTGTTGCAAATGGCAAGAGTTCATTTCATTCTTTCTCATTGCCAGGTAGTATTCTGTTATATATATATATACATATATATACATATGTATATATGTATACATATATGTATATGTATATGTGTATATACATATATACATTATATGTAATATATTTTTTCTTTTTTACTTATTTTTTTATTTTACATCCAAGTTAGTTAGCATATGGTGCAACAATGATTTCAGGCACATCTTCTTTATCTATTCATCCGTCGAGGGACATTTGGGCTCTTTCCAAAATTTGGCTATTGTTGAAAGGGTTGCTATAAACATTGGGGTACATGTGCCCCTATGAACGAGCACTCCTGCATCCTCTGGATAAATTCCTAGTAGTGCAAGTGCTGGGTCGTAGGGTAGTTCTATTTTTAAATTTTTGAGGAACCTCCATACTGTTTTCCAGAGCGGCTGCACCGGTTTGCATTCCCACCGGCAGCGCAAAAGAGAGCCTCTCTCTCCACATCTTCACCAACATCTGTTGTTGCCTGAGTTGTTAGTTTTAGCCACTCTGACCGATGTTAAAAAACCCAGAACTGGACCCACAAATGTGTGGCCAACTTATCTTTGACAGAGCAGAAAAAATTATCCAATGGAAAAAAAGACAGTGTCTTTGGCAAATGGTGCCGGTAGAACTGGACCGCGACATGCAGAGCAATGAACCTGGACCACTTTCTTACACCAGACAGAAAAATAAACTCAAAATGGATGAGAGACCTAAATGTAAGACAGGAGGCCATCAAAATCCTCGAGGAGAAAGCAGGCAACAACCTCTTTGACCTCGGCTGCAGCAACTTCTCACTCAACACGTCTCCGGAGGCAAGGGAAACAGAAGCAAAAATGAACTACTGGGACCTCATCAAGATAAAAATCTTCTGCACAGCGAAGGAAACAATCAGCAAAACTAAAAGGCAACCGACAGAATGGGAGAAGATATTTGCAAACAACATATCAGATAAAGGGTTAGGATCCAAAATCTATAAAGAACTTATCAAGCTCAACACCCGAAAAACAAATAATCCACTGAAGAAATGGGCCAAAGACATGAACAGACACTTCTCCAAAGAAGACATCCAGATGGCCAACAGACGCATGAAAAGATGTTCAACATCACTTGGCATCAGGGAAACACATATCAAAACCACGTTGAGGCAACATTTCTTAAAGGAAATAAGGCACTTTCTACCAAACACTTAAATCTTTGGCCTTATTTTTCCACTCCTAGGAATTTATGCTACAGAAACATTCCTACAGATATGCAGAGACATGGTAAAAAAATGTTGGCTGTAAGACTGCAACAGTGAAAAACTAAAACCCCCCACTAGGAAACTGCTGAAATAGGTTTGCCAATAGGAAAATACTGAAACAGTATGCGGTGTTTTTGGAGAGGGTGGGCGTGCCAGAAGTGTAAAGTCAACTGAGCAGACACCATTATGTAAGAAGATAAATCCCAGTAACACACAGCAGGAACTATGTTCCCACTTGCTGACATCTGTGGGAAACGGGATCTGGGGGACTTGTACTTCCCCATTATGATTTACTGTATCATTTCAGTTTTTTGTGACATCGTATTGTATTTATAATCAGAAAAAAAACCAATTTTGTTATAGATTAAAACATCCGATCACACACATCTCTTAGAACCTAAGTATAAAGACAATGATTATTTACAACTAAGTTTAAACCAAACAAGTTAAACTGATGTATTTTCAAGGGAAAACAAAAGTCATTGTTTCAAGCCTACGGTGACAGTCATCAACTCTGAACTGACGTTCCTCCAACCCTCTTCATTAGGTATGAGCCCCAGGGAAAGCCAGACTCTGTCGCCTTCTTCAGGGGTCTGTACTGTACCGGAGACCCCATTCACCTCATCTTCTCCTCCCGGAACACAGCACGGCAAACTACAAACAGGGCCAGTCTACAAAAGAAGGTTATCCGAGGCATTCAAAACCAAACCCTGGTTGTACTTTACTCAGAAATCCTGGAAGATCTTCTAATTAACCTAGCAAAATGAAAAAATTTTTCAGACACTCCAAATGACTAAATGTTGAATCTCAATATTAAAAAAAAAAAATACTGATCGGGGCGCCTGGGTGGCTCAGTCGGTTAAGCGGCCGACTTCGGCTCAGGTCACGATCTCGCGGTCCGTGAGTTCGAGCCCCGCATCGGGCTCTGTGCTGACAGCTCAGAGCCTGGAGCCTGTTTCAGATTCTGTGTCTCCCTCTCTCTGACCCTCCCCCGTTCATGCTCTGTCTCTGTCTCAAAAGTAAATAAACGTTAAAAAAAATAATAACATAATACTCTAAAAAAATACCGATCAACATTCAGATAATACATATTTGAACTTACGTGTTCTGAAAGTAAAAGTGTGCGACAAGGCACTTTACAAATCAAGCACTCGCCCTTTCTACCTGTAAAAGAAAAGCAAACTTTACTATATCACAGTGAGTATTGCTTCTGAACGCGTGGAGATGCAGATTCAAATTACAGTTTTCTTCACAACGTAGCATCCACACTTCCACACTCCATCATGACACTGCACGTGGCCAGAGTTGGGACACCGTTTATGCAGCGAACGATCCACCTCTTCCTGCCTTGTAGAACTGCCCCAAATTGGTGACTGTGAAGATCAACAATACTGAAGCTAAATGTGTCTCAGAACTCTCTCACAGTTCGGTTTTGCAGCGATATCTTAATTAACAACGGTCAGGACTCAAAATGAAAGTAGCTCCTTGCATCCCACCCAACACATGAAGTCCGAGTTTTGCTCTGCTCCCGCAGCCTCACCTCTGCGACACCAGGGACCGCTCACCGGGAAAGGACTCTGCGTTTGCCGAGCTCCTGCCACCTGCACGGCGGCGCCTGGACGCAGGCCTCGTACCTCCCACCTGCTGGCGTCGGCTGACTCACCTGCTCCTGTCCGGGGGCCCCCAGTGCCCCGCACCTGCCGCAGCATGCTGGTTTCCGCCACGCTCGTCCTCACTGGGAAGCCCGCGCTAAGTCCGGCACTTCCTGGCCCGCCCCCACAGGGGCCCCTTCTCCCGTGACTACGCCCTGGGCCCCCGGAGCGGCCGCTGTCGTAGGCAAACTCAGACTCCTTCCTACGCCTGTACCCACGTCACTGGCGGCAGCAGGGCCCCTCGTCCCAGGCTCGGCCCCGACCCCACAGGTCAGAGTCTCACTTTCCCACAGAGCGGCCCGGAGCCCGGAGCCGGCCAGTCAGTACCGCGCTCCTCACCCTTCCGAGCAGCACACCCAGCCCAAACCCGGGCTCTCTTTCTCCCCCGCTTCTGGTCCAGTGTAGCTAAGAACCGGGCAAAAAAAATCACTTAACTGGGAAGTGGATTCAGAGACGTGGGTTCCAACCTGGATGAACCTGCAACACTGCCGGCGCCCATCCATTTTTCTTGAGTGTCCCCCCAACTCCCTGTGGGGGGGTGTTCGGACCAGCCCCAGACCGCGTGCTGACCTCCCTCGATCCCCTGCCTCTCCTCCAGTAACCCACCACAGAACAACCCAGCTCACTCTGCCTTCTTCCTCTGTCCCGTCCCACCCCCAGCACGTGGGACGACGGTCCTGGTACAGAAAGAGCGGGCTCCCTTCCAGTGGCCTCCAGAGCTACCCCCTTCCTCTCTCCCTACAAACACGTTCAAGTCGCCCTCTCCTGAAAACATCCACGCCTGGCGGTACGTTCCCGCCCCTCGTCTCTACTGCGGATTCTGGAGCACAGAACTTCCCCTTGAGCATCGCTGCAGCCTGAAGCCGTGGAGTCAAAGATTAACAGAGCTGACTCCGAAAGCTCTGCGAGTTGTGTTGAGAGCGGGGGCGGCAACAGACCGGACACAGAGAGGAACTTGTCTGCAGCTAATGGACAGGAAAACTGACATTCATACTTAATATGCAAACAGAGCTCACTAACCCATTAAGCACTCCAGTAAAAGGTGTGAGGGCCGCTGGCCAAAGCATAGACCACCAGTAATGTATGAAAAGAAAATCCAGGCCATCGGTGCTGGGGACGTGGCGCAGCCACGCCTTCTGGGCGGGTTGGTCCTAGGTGTTGGCTATGACGGGCACGGCCCAGTGAGGCACTTCCACGCTTACACACACGCAAAGGAGAAAACCACACAAGTGAACAAGTGCTGTTTACCAGCAAAACATTAGAAAAAACACACGTCTTTTACCAGGGAATCAGTTAAATAGGTCTTGGTATGGCAACTAAAAGATATACTGTGCAACCTTAAAAAGGATGATACAGACCTAGTAGAACATGAAAAAATATCCATGTCCTGTTCATAAATGCAGATAACTAAACGGTATACACGCAATACCATTAAAAATTTTTTTAACGTTTATTTTTGAGAGGTGGGGGGACAGAGAAGAGAATCTGCAGCGGTCTCCAGGATGACAGCAGAGAGCCCGATGTGGGGCTCAAATTCGCAAGCCTCGAGATCATGACCTAAGCCGAAGTCTGACGCATAACCCACTGAACCACTCAGGCACCTCCCATTTTTGTGTTAAAAACCTGTATCCATAGGAAAGAGTCTGGGAGGATATACACCAAAGCTTAAGGAGGGCTTATCTCTGAGTAACGGTCACCAAACAGCTGGGAAGCTATGGTCAGTGCTCCACCCAGAGCCCTCAAGCCTTTCTGCTGTCTTTTTTGTTTTGTTCTATGTCCCAGCACCTGTGGCTTTTTGGAGGAATGACCTAGGGCTACTGGAATGTGCTTTGGCCTTAGGCTTCAAGAGCTAGAGGTCCGCTGGGAATCGCCCTGCCTGAACCAGTCCCCCAAGGCTGAGAGCATGCACTGGTCTCCGCTGTTTTCACCCAAGTTCACCCACGCCACTAAATCCAGGGGGAGGTTCCATTCTGCCCTGGGACGCCAGGTCCCAAATACTCTGCTTTCTTTTCTTCCACAGCCTCCTCCTACCTTCACCCATCGTCTTCAAGAAACGCTCCTCCCAGGTGATACCATGCCCTGGTTCCCTCTGCCCTCCACACTCTCCTCACTCCAGTATCTTCGATGACTACATACATGCTAATTCCCCGACGTGTTCCTGGCTGTCCTGACCCCGAGCCCCAAATACTCAATCCCTCCCAGTCTCCCCGCCTCGGATGGCTCTCACCGGAATCTCAGCGTCCAACGTGAGCCCCTGAACCTCACCCTGGGAGCTGCTGTTTTCTCTCTGTGCTCGGTGCTGCTAACCCAACCCCCAATCCTCCAGTCAGAGGCCAGGCCGCTCCCCAGACTCCACTGTGCTGCATCTCTCTAGGCCCACGGCCCCATCATCGCTCAACCGCACAGCCTCTTGCCCAGTTCCTGTCTCCCACCAAACTACCTTTTCACCCAGCTGCCAGAGACTTTTCAAACACACGCGTGAGACTCAGCAACCCCACTGCAGATATACACCCAAGGCGGTCCACAAGATAGACATCGGGTTAGTGGTTCTCTCTGATGTGGCTTCTGAGAGGGTGGTGATGTTCTCTCAATCTGGGAGCTGGTTTCACAGGTAAATTCACCCTGTAAAAAGTCTTGTGCTTTGCATTCGTGACTTTTTCTTTGTACTTCAATTTAAATATTTTTAATGTTTATTTATTTTTGAGAGACAGAGAGAAAACACGCGAGTGGAGGAGAAACAGAGAACGAGGGAGACACAGAATCGGAAGCGGGCTCCAGGCTCTGAGCTGTCAGCACAGAGCCTGACGCGGGGCTTGAACCCACAAACCACGAGATCATGACCTGAGCCGAAGTCGGACGGTCAACCGACTGAGCCACCCAGGCACCCCTATTTGTCTTTCTCTCCTGTGAATTATCAGTTTATATTCCTGGCTAACTTTTTTATTGGGACGGTATTTTTCTTAATCATTTATATTGAGCTCTTTACATAGGGAGACAATTAACTTGGTCATTAATAAGATAGTTATTTTCATGAGTGTGCAATTTGCCCTTTAACTTTGTGTATTTTTTGGCATGTAGGGCATACAGAGGTTTCACATTTTTTTTTCTTTTAGGTCAAATCTATCTTTTTCTTTGTGATTTCTTCTCTTTTTTTTTTCAATGTTTATTTATTTTTTAATTTTTAAAATTTTTAAATTTATTTTTGAGAGAGAGACAGAGCGAGTGGGGGAGGGGCGGAGAACGAGGGAGACACTGAATCCGAAGCGGGCTCCAGGCTCTGAGCTGTCAGCACAGAGCCCGATGCGGGGCTTGAACCCACAGACTGCGAGATCATGACCTGAGCCAAAGTCAGACGCTCAACCGACTGAACCACCCAGGCGCCACTCTTTGTCTTCAACTTAAAATTTTCATAGAAAGAGACACCTGGGTGGTTCAGTTGGTTGAGTGTCGGACCCTTGAAGTCGGCTCAGGTCACGATCTCTTGGCTCTGTGCAGACAGCACGGAGCCTGCTTGGGATTCTCTCTCTCCCTCTCTCCCTGTCCCCTCTGCCCCTGCCCCGCTTGCTTTCTATCTCAAAATAGATAAACTTAAAAAAATCTCATAAAAAGAAAGATACCTCTGATCACATCACCACCCTGCTTAAAACCAGTGGTTTCCTACTGCCCGGAGAACAGGGGGGATCCCCTGCAGCATGCTTCAGCCGACTTCACCAGCACCCTCGGCTCCTCCAGCCCGTCCACACTTCCTTCTACCCTAGGATCTCTGCACTCGGCGTCACCTCTGCCTGGGAGCTCCCAAGCGTCCGGGCTGTCTCTCACCTTCCCGCCCCCTGCCCCGCAGGCTCTGGCTCCACCCTCGCTTGATGCCAGGTGAGGACGCGCCTTCTGGGGCCCTGCGCTGGTGTTTAAAGGCATCCTGGACACAGGGCCTAGTTTAACCCGCCTTCTGAAGGGGCAGGGAGAGCCATACTCCCAGGGCTGACACCTGCGATCTCGGCCAGCACGTTTTCCACCATCCCTCCGGCCGCCCACCCAGCAGGACGTCCTGCTGCCTCTGCACCCGAGGTTCGGGAAGGAACCCGGCGCCCTCGGCCCCGCCCCGCCGCCCGGTACTGCCCGACCCCAGGGCCCGCCCGCCTCACCTTTGTCCAGGCAGACGTCGCAGTACACGTGGCCGCAGTTGGTCAGGCTGAAGCACGACGTCTGGTGCGGCGGCTGGAAGCAGCGATTACAGAACACCCAGCTGGCCATGTCGAACACGGCGTCCGCGCCGCCGCCGCGCAGAAGCCCAGGCCCGCAAGAGGCCCACACGCCGCCTCCCGCCGCGGGCAGAGGGTGGCGACTCTGCACCTGCGCAAACGCGAACTTGTAACCCGGCGCCTGCGCACCAGAGAGCCGTGTCGCTCCCGCCAAAACCCGTGCTGGAACATACCAACCCGGGGAAGGGAGGGAGGTGGGGTTAGATAGATTCTTCTCCTCGCAGGCTGTCTTGGCTGGACGTGGAGAGGAGGAACGTGCACACCGGGGCCTGGCCTCCCTCATTCCATCACTGCACTCCTTGCCAAGTCTTCTGTGGAGCCGTGTGTCCTAGTCCAGGCCCGGAGACGGTGCTGGTGTCCCCGGTTGGCGCCCACATGGGCGTGCCGGGAAGGCGCAGGCGCAGAGCACGGGCAGGGGAGGCCAAGGCGGGGAGGGGAGGGGAGCGGGACCGGCGGAACGGCAGTGATGGCTGGGAGACCGTGTGCGCACGCGGCACCCTGCCTGGTGCGGGGAGGGGGCCGGGGGCGGAGGGTGGGCGGGTTAGGGACACCGGGCTGACCAGAGGGACCAGGGGTCCTGGGCAGACGGAGGTGCGGGGCCACAGGCGGACCGAGTGAACCAGGACGGGGTGTGACTGCGGCCGGGGCCCAGGGTGGGACCATTTGGTGGGGTTGGCGTCGCGGCCCTCCTGGGGCAGGTTATTCCTTTTGAAAGAGCATAGATGGTGCAGCTGGGGGAAGGGGTTCCTTGTACTATTTTTGCAGCTTCCGGTGAGCTTATGATTATTTCAGAGTTAAAAGCTAAAGAAAATAGTTCTGTATCACGATTGAACTCCCCGGATGATGCCGCATCTCCTCCACGGCTCGGAAGAGCAGAGCTTCCTTCCACGTGTGGAGGTGGGCCGACTGGGGACCAGGGACGAGAACTCGGTTCAGAGAACTCTGGGCCATTTGCTTGTGTGGAGGGAAGTTGCCATCTTTCAGGGAACTAGAAAAAAGCAGAGGCTCAGGGTGGCTTTCGGAGTGGAATGCAGTAATCGGGGAAGGATGGACTCCCTTGTCCAGCACTGTAGCTATGAATGTCATGTGACCATTGAGCCCCTGAAAGTGAGTGGTCCAGATTGGGACGTGCTTTGAGTGTAAAATACACTTGGGTCGCCAAGAGTTCATTTCAAAAAAGGAACATGGGGTGCCGGTGGCTGAGCGTCCAGCTTCAGTTCAGGTGGCGATCTCGTGGTCGGTGAGTTCAAGCCCCCCATCGGGTTCTGTGCTGACAGCTCAGAGCCTGGAACCTGCTTCAGATTCTGTGTCTCCTCTCTCTGTCCCTCCCCTGCTCACACTCTGTCTCTGCCTCCCTTAAAAGAAATAAATATTTAAAAAATTAAAATAAATTAAAAAATAAATTAAAAAAAAGAAACGTGAACTACCTCAATAATTTTGTACTGTTTACATATTAAAATGGTAATATTTTTGATGTTTTGGGTTAAATATATGTCACGGGTTAATTTTACCTTTCAAAAAAACCCCATTTTTTTTTTAATGTGGGAACCAGAAGACTTAAAATTTACATATGTAGCTCACATTTTCTTTCTGTTGGACAGTGCTGATCTGTACCAAGTTAAAATAACTGGGTGGTGTGCTTACTCTATCAAACTCAGAAGCTACATTGTTAAAGTAATATTTTATTGCTACAATGCTGTAACATGAATTTCAATCTGATAATCTTTGAAATCATAAAGGCAATACTCGGTTATGAATACATATTGATTTATTAACCAAACATTATGCAAGTTAGCAAGTAGTTTTCTTTGTTAACATCTTAAACAAGTTTCTTAGCTATAAAGAAGTCTTTAAGGTGTTTCATTTGGAAAATTCCAATTGCGATGAAGATTAATGTTTGTGCAAAAGCCCACCATAACACATTGCTATTTGTATCTTCGCTGGTCATTCGAAAATTTTCTTCACGGTCCTATGTAGAAGAGAAATAGGCAGGTTTAGTTTCTTAAAGTATTTAATGTATGAATTTGAGGGGAAGGTGCTATATGCTTTGAAGATGTTTAATATTTCCCAGTTAGTATCTCATACCAGAGTGCAGTATCTGATTAAGCTGGGGCATGTTGTTGGCTTAACACAAGGACTAAGAATCAACCTTATAAAGCATGTTTTTGTATTTTGATGTAGAGTGTCTGCTATTTGATCCATTATCTTTTACATTTATTTCCCAGCATTGAGCAAAGTGACAGGTTTTCATCATCCGCGTCCTTGCTTCACGTTAAGCTGGGCACTCTGTCAAGCACGCCTGTCCTCCTCTTATTTTCCAGGCAAGGAAACTGGTGTCTGGAGACGACACAAGGTGAGCAGGGGGCAGATCTGGCCCCACGTGTGAGCAGAGTCCACTGAGCACAGGGACCCGGAAACACACAGTGTCACAAGAACAGAACTGTCATTTGCAGAGCAGGCACACCGCGCCTCTCCATGTACGTGGGGGGTGTTGGGGAGCATGTATTTATTCGCTCTGTCGGCTCCCACCCCAAGAGCGGATGGGCCGCAGTCCCCCTTCCTAGAGGAGCTCACCGTCCAGCAGACAGTGAAAAGGTAGTGACAGCTCACTCTTGCCCTTCACCCTGAGTGTCCCCACCGTGCTAGCTCGGGGAGAGAGACGGGGAGCAGGCAGTCTGTTCTCTCTGCAGTTTGGGGGCTTTGTCTCCAGAGCTGCGTTCCTGGCAGGAAGAGAGAGAGTAAGTCGAATGGGCAGACTGACCCTTTGATAGTTTTGTTCTTTGACTATTTGCTCAATTTGCTCAATTAGACGTTCCAGCTTGAAGCTAACTTCATTAACTTTGTCCTTCGCTTGAGCAGCGGCTGCATCAAGGTCGTGTTGTCCAACTCGGATCTCTAAGTGAATCCGCTGTACAAACAGTGACAAGGAAGAAACATGCTTAAAACAGCTCCCCTCCGCGTCTGCCTGTGTCTCCCCGACTCCTCTCCTGGCTCCCTCCGCCCCCCACCCCCCTGCCCCTTCTAGAGCAGGCCCCGCTTCTTTCTAGTCTCTCACTGGCTCTCAATCCCCTGCCGTACTCAGTAGTCTTTCTTGGTGATATTAACGCATTAGATGGTGACCCACGACCCAGAGAGAGTACTCACACTCTCCTGAACGTCAGATTTACCATTAGGCAAACGCCTTTGGTGCCGAGGGAATTTGATGACTTGCAGGAAATTTTTCTTTACGTGAAGCTTAATTTCTGATGCTAACATACAGATTCTCTTCATCTGCACTCAGCACCTTTAGAAAATAACCAGTCACCATCTGACATGTAAGAGTTGTATTTATTGCAATTGCGTTGTTAATTTACCGTCCGGCCTTCGCTTGTTTTCAGGCCTGAATGATCACAGTTCTTTTAACCGTCCCTCACAGTTCTTGTTTTTCAAGCCCTTTAATCAACACCGTGGCTCTCCTTTGAACCCCTTCCAAGCGGTGCAGCCCCTTCTGTGGTTGCTGCACTGAGATGTGGTCCCAGGACTTTCATAAGGCTCTAGCCAGTCGGGAGTGATGGTTCTGCATACCAGCGTCACGCCTGAGTAGCACTGACGCCCTGTTCATCAGCACGGACACGGGAGGCATGTACTCACCAGCTTACTCCCTCCAAATGACACAAGCCTTGTAGAGTTAGATTCCAAGCAAATGATGTGTTCGCCAGGTGAATGTGAAGTAAAATAGAATGTTCCTTGTGGGCCATATAACTTGGACAATAACACCTAGGATTGAGGATATCCATAGTTTAAGTTTATTATTCTCTACTTTCCCTTCTTAAAAATAAATCTCCCCTCTATCATGTAGTAAAAATTGTGCTATTCCTAAAGAAGAAATGAAGTGGTTGATGAATGTGAAAATTATTTAGCCTTGTTGGGAAAAACAACACACACAAACACACAGTAAGATATCCCTTATTCGCTATCCGATTGTCAAAGATTTAAATAAAAGTATCCGGGGATAGTATTGAGAAATACTGTCTCTAAACACTGATTTGGGAATGTAAGTTGAACAGCCATTTTGTAGAGCAGGTCAGCAATATGTATTAAAACTTAAAATGTATATAACCATCAACTCAGTGGTTTTACCTATGGAAACTTATTCTATGGAAATGAACAAGTGGAAAAAATTCTATGTAAAAGGATATTCAGTGTGGTGTTATTTGCAATGGTAACCTTGCTTTCTTAAAATTACTTTAATACTTTTTAGTAGGGGATTGATTAAATTCAGACAAAGCCAAATAAAGGCATATTACATGGCCAAAAAAGAGAGTACTATACCCATACCTGTACTAAAGGTGTCCATGATATCCTGTGGTGGAGCAGTCTGTATAGGATCCTATTTTTTATTTAAAAAATCATTTGTAGGGGCCCCTGGGTGGCTCAGTCAGTTAAGTGTCCAACTCTTGATTTTGGCTCAGGTTATGATCTCACGGTTCGTTGGTTAAAGCCCCGCATCAGGCTCTGTGCTGACAGCACGGAGCCTGCCTGAGATTCCCTGTCTCCCTCTCTCTCTGCCCCTCCCCGACTCGCACTCTATCTCACTCTTTCTCTGTCAAAATCAGTAAATTAATTAAAAAAGCATTTGTAAGCTGTAATCATCAAGACAGTATGGTATTGGCACAAAGACACATAGACCAACGGAATAGAATATGAGAACCCAGCAATGGACCCACAAATGTATGGCCAACTAATCTTTGACAAAACAGGCAAGAGTATCCAATGGAGAAAAGTCTCTTTAGCAAATGGTGCTGGGAGAACTGGACAGCAACATGTAGGAGAATGAAACTTGACCACTTTCTTACAACGTACACAGAAATAAACTCAAAATGGATGAAAGACCTGAATGTGAGACAGGAAACCATCAAAACCCTAGAGCAGAAAGCAGGAAAAAAACCTCTCTGACCTCAGCCACAGCAATTTCTTACTCGACACATCTCCAAAGGCAAGGAAATTAAAAGC